TATGTAAGCCTAACAATAATAATTTTAAATTATAACTTCTTAACTACAGTATACGTAGGCCTAACAATAATAATCTAAAATTATAACTTCTTAATTATACGTGAAAACAAATAACGACACCACAAATGGAGCCATAATATGTAGCGCCCCCAACTTGCGTGTTCGGCTTCTTCGGCGATCATAAATTTCTTGATTGAATGCATCCTATCAAAGATATTAGAATACATCTTCTAATCGGTAAGTTAGGCATTCATAATACATGATATGATTAATATCTAAATAGACAATATAATTTGTGTAATGTTCTATATAGTAAATAATACTGTTCATCTAACTTGGGTACGGTTTGACTAACGATGGGTATGGTTTGATCAAAGATGGGTACGGGTTGACTAAAATTCTGGGTACTGGGTTGACCAAAATTTGGGTACGGTTTGTGGGTATGGGTTGGCATGGGTACGCTTTGACTGTAATTCAGTCAGATAGCCTAGCTAGGGTGCTAGGCCCTAGCCTAGGCCTACCTAGACCTGTCAAGTAATTTCATGTTAGGCCTAGCCTAGGTCTGGCCTTGTGGCAGAGAGTTTGGGCCAATCAGCGAGGCTACTGTACCTGTCAGCCAATGAGGTACTTGCAGTCTTCTTGAGCAATTTTAAGTTACTGTAGTACTGCTTGAGATATTTTAGATCATATGCACATAGGATTAAAACAAACTCACACTTTTTTTGTCTGACAAGCTGTGTCCGAATGGGGGTTTCCTGTCTGATGAATACTTAAGCCCATTTTTTTTTGTTGTTTTAATTAACACAATTTAATTATTTTATTTTATTTTGCTAATGGTAAAAAAATGAATTTGATTTATATTAACATTCAATATATTCTTTTTTCTTACAGAAATTACCAACGCCATCATCAAAAAGTTCCAGACAGCTTTTTTAGCAGAACCAAAGAACAGACTTGCCCAGAATGTGGTTACTAAATACGATCCTCTGGAGGTCTGCATGGACCATACTGAGTCTCAGACAGTTTCCCATGCTTACACATATAAGGTAAATGTATTACACATTCAGTATAAGGATAACAGTGTTTTTTTTTTGTTTTTTTAGCAACAAAAGAAATCAAATGTGTGCAGCAATTATGAACTGTCTCTTAAGCTCTGTCCAGACTATCAAAATTCTTTGACAAAAAACAGTTGTATGCCCATATATAGTCATGATGTGCCTATATATGGTCATGATGGGATGTCATCATGACTATATTTAGGCATGTCACATGTTGTTATCAAATGATAGTTGATAGTCTGGACAGGTCTTTACATTTTTAAAATCTTTGAAGCTACTAGATTGCAATTTGTGAGGTCATACCACTACATGGCCGTACCATGACAAAACAATGCAACTGCTTTTGTTATATTGGAACTGGTGTATACAGTAGTAGTAGTCAAAATCCATGTTAGTATTCTAAAGTCAATTATATTTACAGTATATATTGTTCTTGTTGGAAATCAACAAAGAAATTTTGATTAGTCCCTTGGAGATAATAGTTGCCTACTGTGATCAGTATACCAGGACTCAGTCCCCTTATCTTTTCAAATTATTACCGTACCTGCATCAAGGAGGTAATGTAATCATTATCTGATTCTGCAAAAACTAATGAATGGATCATCATAACATTTAGTGGAATGGTATACAAATAATGGATGTTTATGAGTGCAATGGGAAAAATATTTTCGTGAGTTGAAAGATTCACTGTTCCATTCAAGGAGGCGGAGCCGAGGTGAATATATTTTATATAGGAATAGGTAATTACTTGGCTGATGGACAATTTTCTGACTAATTTTCATAGGTTCCTGAAGTAAAACCAGTGACGAATCAGAAGGCAAGTGGTCGATGTTGGATCTTTGCTTGCTTAAATGCAATGCGGTTACCATTCATGAAACAAATGCAACTTGAAGATTTTGAATTCAGCCAATCATATCTATTTCTTTGGGATAAGGTTTGTGGATGTTTTCGAGTTTAAGAAGAATTTTTTTTTTCAAGGCCAGAGATAGCAATATTATACAAAAAGTGTTGTTTTATATATAATATATTTTTTTAGGACATTGTTTTTTGTACTTCAATTTACCAGATTGTCAGATCCTGCAGCGGCTCATATTGTGTTTTCCACTTTCTTTATGGCCAAAAGTAATTTAATCGAAAGATAGCAAAATAGAAGGAGAGCGGCTAACAAATATGACAATCTCGCCAAAATCTTGATACTTTGACAGTCTTTCCATATAATATCAGGCCAAAAAATTGTTAATTTTATGAACTTCACATTTACCAACATCATAGAGACCAGAGTTGTAGTCTTAGTAGCACCAATCTGTTGAAGTGTATAATAAACAAATACTTCAGTCATTCAGCTGAGGCCTGGAAAAAAATGTTTGTGCATCTGACCAAGAAAATTGTCTCAATATAATGCCTCCACTATATTATAGCCCAACTGTTTATTTTTTAAATTTATTCCCCAAAAATGTCTCCGGGACATTCACGAAGCCTCCGACTACCAGTCATGCTTTTTCCAGCCCTGATTCAGCCTTTGCAACACAACAATTTCTGTAGCTAAAGCTTTAGAGCTTTTTTAGATGATAATTTAAAGTTCATTTCTTTAATTGTTATCTTTTTTTTAAATGTATAACAGATAGAAAGAATAAACTACTTCCTCCATTCATATGTGGAAGTTTTTAAGAAAGGTGAGGCTCCAGAGGGCAGGCTTGTTAGTTTTCTTCTGTCAAATCCAACGGAAGATGGCGGTCAGTGGGACATGCTCGTGAACCTGATAAATAAGTACGGCGTGATGCCGAAGAAACTCTTCAAAGATGTCTATACCTCAGAGGCTTCGTCAAAGATGAATATGTTACTGAAAAATAAGGTATAAGGTTGAATGTGGTGCTGCCCTCTATAGAGCATCATCACACTTGATAATAACCATACAAATATACCTTGCATATTTTGTGGTGGTGTGTAACACAGTGGTTTCTCAATCCTGAGGTCAGGGTTTTATCCCTCTATGCAATTGCTTGTGTCCTTGGCAAGGCTTTTGATCTACATTTGTCTGTCAACCCAAATGGGTATCTAGTAGATTGTGAATACTCTACGTTAAATGTCTTTGGTCTGTGCATGGAGGAATAAGTTTAGATTAGATAGTATAATACATACTCCAAATATGGAAATTCATGCCATCATGTCGGGATTCAATATTGATGATTAATGTTTAATGTCGAAATATTGAATCCCGACACGATGGCATGCATTTCGATACTTGGAGTATGTATATACTATCTTATCTGAGATTAATCAGTGGACCTTTCGGTTTTTAAGTTTAGATTAATTTTTGAACTTATTCCTCCATGGTCTGTGTGATGCATGTTGCATGTTGTAAGTGTTTATCAATTGCCTCTGACCAAGAAAATTATCTCGATATAATGCCTCCACTATATTATAGCCCAACTGTTTATTTTTTAAATTTATTCCCCAAAAATGTCTCCGGGACATTCACGAAGCCTCCGACTACCAGTCATGCTTTTTCCAGCCCTGATTCAGCCTTTGCAACACAACAATTTCTGTAGCTAAAGCTTTAGAGCTTTTTTAGATGATAATTTAAAGTTCATTTCTTTAATTGTTATCTTTTTTTTAAATGTATAACAGATAGAAAGAATAAACTACTTCCTCCATTCATATGTGGAAGTTTTTAAGAAAGGTGAGACTCCAGAGGGCAGGCTTGTTAGTTTTCTTCTGTCAAATCCAACGGAAGATGGCGGTCAGTGGGACATGCTCGTGAACCTGATAAATAAGTACGGCGTGATGCCGAAGAAACTCTTCAAAGATGTCTATACCTCAGAGGCTTCGTCAAAGATGAATATGTTACTGAAAAATAAGGTATAAGGTTGAATGTGGTGCTGCCCTCTATAGAGCATCATCAGACTTGATAATAACCATACAAATATACCTTGAATATTTTGTGGGGGTGTGTAACACAGTGGTTTCTCAATCCTGAGGTCAGGGTTTGATCCCTCTATGCAATTGCTTATGTCCTTGGCAAGGCTTTTGATCTACATCTGTCTCTAACCCAAATGGGTATCTAGTAGATTGTGAATACTCTAGGTTAAATGTCTTTGTTCTGTGCATGGAGGAATAAGTTTAGATTAGATAGTATAATGCATACTCCAAGTATGGAAATTCATGCCATCATGTCAGGATTCAATATTTCAACATTAATTATGTTATAGATGATGACATAATTAATGTCGAAATATTGCAAGATGAGAAGTGCTTTCTAGTTACTAAAATTGATCGTTTAAGAAGACCAGTTTAAAAAATATTTGATGAATACTTACATTTATGTTTTTGAAAGAGTTTCTTACTCTAACTGAAAAGTTTGATGATTCTTAAAGAGCTTGAGATCCAACCTTCCCTATCATTGAATTCAATTGCAGATACGTGAATTTTCTAAGAAACTAAATGAGATGGTCCAGGAGAAGAAAACTGATGAAGAAATCAATGCAGAGATACTCGGCATGATGCAAGTGGTAAGAAAGATAATTTATATATATTAATTGTATTTAATTCAACCAATTAATCAATCAACCAGTCAACTAACCAATCAACTAATTAGTCAATCAATGAATATAATAATTGATGTAATTCAAACAATTAACCATCAATCAATTAATCATTCAATCAATTTGTCAAACACTCTAATCAATTAAATCAATTAACTAATCAATTATTCACAATTTATGAATCATTTAACTAATCAGTCGATTATTCGAGGATTCAGTTTACTTTAAAGATTTTACGAATTAGTGGCAAACAGCAAACCTGATAATAGGTGCAGTACAGTGTTGAAGCCGGACTCTGGAGGAAATAAACATTGTTGTATATTGTGCAGCTGGTTTTTTAAAGACACAAAAATGGTGATGAGTTAATAAGATACAGACTTTTGAATATTTAAAAAGTGGGATTAAAAAGAGCATAACCAACTTTTTTTCACCTTTTTTCCCCCATTAAATTTTAAAAAATCTGTATTTCATTAACCATTCACAAGTATTTCGTCAAACAACCATTTTATATCTTAGAAAAGTCATTTGTACAACATATTAAGAAATTTATTTCCTCCGGTGCAAGACTATAATATTACAGTGTTAAAGGTGACGATTTACAAAAATGGGCTTACAATAATCTACAATGAAACAGTGTGACATTCATAATGGGTGTCTATTTATTGGTTCTAGTCTTTGATGATTGCACAGTTCACTTGATGTTACCATTTCATATTCATTCTACAGGTTCATCGTATAGTGTCTATATGCCTTGGAACTCCTCCTACCTCCTTCACTTGGGATTACTATGACAAGAACAAAGTTTACAAGAAGATAGGACCAATAACGCCAAAGGACTTCTATGAGCAACATGTTAAGCCATTTTATGATGTCAATGATAAGGTACTGTACTTGTATTTGATAAGTGTCCCTCATTAATACACTAATAGTCTGTCAAGATTATCAAATTTTCTTTGACAAAAAACTGTTATATGCCCATATATAGTCATGATGTGCCTACATATGGTCATGATGTGATGTCATCATGACCATATTTAGGCACGTCACATGTTTTTGTCAAATAAAGTTTGACAGGATCAAAATTGATTTGAGACCTTTTAATAGATGCATATGCTGTTGTACAAGAACAACGAATGTTGATGTCAAACAAAGAGTAATCATTTAAGCTAAGTGTTTTTTTGTCAGGGGTTCCAAAAGATCTGGTTTATTGAGATTTGTTAGCACATCATTGTACAGGTATTCTACTGTGAGCTGTGATACCCATGATCAGTTGATTTCAGGTAGAATTTATTCATAATACAGTAGTGGAAACATGCAACCATCGTGAATTTGCTGGAGATTGATGATCTTTAATATATACAATGATTTGATCTGTTTGTAGGTTTGTATAGTGAATGATCCAAGACCAACAAATACATATGGCAAGCTATACACCGTTGAGTATCTAGGCAATATGATAGGTGGACGTAAAACCCTTTACATTAATCAGCCAATAGAGAGTATGAAACAGATGACTGCAGCTTCTATTAAGGCTGGAGAGGTAATTGCGTTTTGTTTTTAACATGATTATGATTATGATGATCATCATTGTCAGTATCATCATTATCATTATCATTCATCACCTTTGCCATCTTTCATTGTCATCATTATCATTGTCATAGTCATCATCATCGTCATAATCATTTTCATTATCATCGTCATAATCATGATCATCGTTGTTGTGACTTGTATTAAATCATCATCACCATGGTCAATATCATTGTCAGTATCACTATCCCTCATCATCATTGTCATCATCATGATAATCATTATCATCCATTCAGAGCACTCAAACAATGTCTTCTAAAAACTCAATGTTCCATTTTCTCCCATCCTCCATCATCTCCCATCCTCCATCATCTTGACCCAACTTTCACAAAATATTTTCTGTATTTTCTCTTTTCACTCTTAAGAGGATCCTGAGTCAACATGTTGACTTTGTTTTTGCAGGCAGTATGGTTTGGTTGTGATGTTGGCAAGCATTTCCACGGCAAGTCCGGAGTCCTCAACATGGATCAGTAAGCTAATATGGTTAATATTTATGATTTATTACTAATTGATTAATATTTGCATTTCAAAATTGTAAAACACAACATTGAGGTTAAGGTGTAGATAGACGATAGAAGGAGTGATTTAGATCTTTTTAGAACCTGTTTTCAAACTCCTTAAATACTGTAGTCTTCCCCAACTTATTATATTTTGATCTAAGTCATTTTTTTTTTGTGTTGGTGGGGAGAGTTGCAGGTTTGGGATGGGTGTATATTATACAAGTTTCCGTTTTTTGTATTTTATTGTAATCTTGCAGATAATAGCCCTTGATGGTCAATAAATTGAATTAAATTGAAGGTTTACTTCCTTTGATTTTTGGATTTATATTTTTATTAGCGTCATCAGAAAGATCTCTATGCACAAAAACATTGATCGTTCATTTGTATTGCAGGCATAATTACGAGGTGGTGTTTGATACGAATGTTAATGGTCTATCCAAGTCTGACAGGCTTATCTATGGTGAATCTTTAATGACTCACGCTATGGTGTTCTCAGCAGTATCCATCGATGAAGCCGCCACGGAAGAGAACAATGGAATGAAGACAGTAAAGTGGAGAGTTGAGAACTCATGGGGAGAGGAAAGAGGAAACAAAGGTAAAAAGTTGTTCTAAGCTCCACCCCCTGGATACTGTTGCTAAGGCCCAAAAATGACATTGTAAATGTTTATAAACATGTTTGTGGGATAAAATTTGTTGTGGGAAAAGCTCATGTTCCTGACCCTGATCTGATTGGTCAGTTGTTGAGTTTGATTTGACACTTTGGGAAGGTCCATTATGTCTTTTATTGATTTGAAATTTAATACCAAACATATCACTCACAATGTTTATTTTTGGGAATACAAAGACAGACTAAAAACTGCTAAAGTTTTGTCCAGTAAGAAATCAGGTGGAGAGTAAAATAACCATCCATCTCATTGCACTATAGAGAAATGCCGTACACCATGCTCAATTCGTCATTCATTTTGAGACTGCTGAAGATAGAATTGTTTAATGAAGGCGACTCAAACCAGCAATAGCTGGCAATAATGAGGCCTTCTATACTATAAAAACAAATCTCAAAAAAAAAAAAATTAAAAAAATACAGTGATCAATCAAGAAAAGCAGATAAAAATGTTGAAAATTATTTTATTGTGTTTGGGAAAACATACAGCAATCCTAGATCCAGAATGAGGACACACAGTAGGAACAAAGGTTAATACTACAGTATTATCTAAACTATAGATACTGTGAGGTTTGGAGATGAGAGGTTTACTTTCCTTCAAGTCTTACCTTTGAATACCACACATTCTGATTGTGCTGTTTGGCAAGACTTTGTTTGTCTCATTATTATTGATGTTTATGTTTTTTTCTGTTATGTTGTTGTTAAGAGCCTTGAGGTAATGTGACAATGTGAGGTGCTACATAAATCCAGAATTTATAATACATTTGTGTGTAGTCCAGGAATAGATAACTTTACTAGGTAACAGAATCTTGCTTTTCAAAACAGTTCTTTTCTTTGTATACCGCCATCTAATGTTCAGTAAATGTCAACTTAATTACACCATTCATTTTTTTAATGTTGTAGGATATCTAATGATGACAGACAACTGGTTCTCGGAATATCTATACGAAGTGGTGATTGACAAAACATATGTTCCTGCAGATGTATTGGCAATCATGGACCAGGAACCTGTAGTACTGCCTGCCTGGGACCCTATGGGTGCTCTAGCATGCTCCAATGCCGAGGATTCAACTTCAGTAGCCTGCTCCAAACTCTAATGACACATTCTGCAGACCTTATGTTTTGCAGTCTATGGACCTCTGGAATGACAACAGTATACCCTTTGTCTCTTGTCCATAGACATCTTGATCTGTTGTCTATAGACACTCAGGTTAATATCCTACAACTTCCCAGCTCTTCTGTGCTGAGGCACGTTTACTCCTATGTCATTGGTGATTTCATATTATTCAAATCACTGGGTCTTTTTACTTTACCTTTAATAATGGTATAATGATATTTAGAAACAGTTTTTAAGAGCCCTAACAGTACCATAAGAGTGGTTGAGTGGCAATAAATATTAATATAAAGTAGGAGATAAAAGGAAGCAATATGAAATGAAGATGTATAACTGCCATTCCACCACAGAAAAATTGACAGCAAACCTCGCACAAGAATAATACACATTGTGTTACATTCACAATATCTTTTATTAGTTTTAAAAAATATATTTGAATATTGCCAAAGGAACGATTTAAGAGCAGACAGCTAATAATTTTCAAAAACAACACAACAGGTCGTATCTTCATCATAGGCAAAGCCTATATTTAATCCAGTATTTTATGGCCTTAAAAGGCCCCAACAAGACATGTTTCGGCAATCTACTACCATCGTCAGTTATTGAATTGCACGCAGGCTATCACTAGTGTAGGGGAGTAAAAAATTCAATGTTTTGCATGCTAAAAATTGTGGAATGAGCCGTAACAATACTACAAAACAAAATATAAATAAAGATGAGGTAAAAACAGAGAACAGTATCTATGCCACAAAGGACAGATTTTTATTTGAATATATAAAAATACATTGAAATAGTATTGCGGTACATGCTGCTACTTGGGATATGATACAACACTAGCTACTAAGCGCAAGCTCCATGGTCTAGTGGTTAAGACACCAGGCTATTTATCTGCATAGTTACTAACCATCTTGCATCGTGCGGGGTGGTCCAGCATTTCGAAGTGATTTTGGATGAAACATGCATGCGTGATCATAAATTTGCCACGCATTTAGCAAAAGTCTATGTGTGATAACGAATTATCACAAATTCAGGGGTAAATGTATTTGAAATTAGAAGAAATTGGTTTTATTTAAAATATAAAAGTGGTATTTTAGCAGTAACTTGAGGCATTAGAGTACAGTATTTACATTATTAGTTAATTCACTGACACGTTTCTAAAAATTGATCAGTTTTTTGTTTGTTTTGAGTAATGAAATGTTTGTGTTCATAGTTCGGGTGCTCAAATTAACCATACATTGAAACTCAAATTGTATGGCTTTATTAAAAATATTTTTGTTTATGTACTCGGTACAAACACTCCCTGAAATCGTTTTTAAAACAGCTTAAAATGCTCAGATTTTTAACTTTTGGCTCGCAGGCCCATAAATGTCTATAATTTCTATACCCTGTATTGTTTTTAGTTTCCTGGATTCCAGACCCCATTAGACATTATTTTTACTTTTTATGAAAAATTAAGTAAATTAATCAGTCAGGGTTTGTAGGAGTGAAGAATAACAAATATTACACCGTGTAGCATTTTTCAAATCTATTGTATTTTAACTGTGTAGTTATTAAATACATTTATTTTGAAGAATTGGGAAAGTAGATTAAACAAACTTTATTTAATTAGAAATTTAGGGAATAATGTACATGGCCCGTGAGTGTCTATTGTTCATGGATAACGTCAAGATTTTTATAATATTAACTAAATAACTCAAAATGATGAATTATGAATTAATTTAATACTGATTGAAAATAAATGTTCAAATCAACAAATGATTAAATAAACAAAAACAGCTCTTGGTTTCTAAATTTATTCTGTAGTTTTTCTTTTTACAATAAAATAAGCAGATAATACTTATATATTTCACATATTTTTCAGTATATTCCTGAAATAATTAAGGAATGTCCGAGTACAATACAGTACATGTTTATATCGCCACACTAATATAATCACCTAATACATTGGCAGATGGTTTTGTAATTTAACAGCAATTCCTCTTTTAAGGCATGGCTGGTTCATCTGATTAAAATGCCACTGTTGTCCGATGCCACTAAAGCGTTTTATTACTTATGCTGAAAACAGGAGAAATGGCAACAATTTAGATGTGTGAAGGAGTATGCAACAAATTATCTACCAATCTTATTTTGAGCAATAGTAGACAGGCAAATACAGGATTTGACAACAAGCTTCTTAACCACCAAGCTATAACTCAAGAGTTGCAAGGAGGATTATAATAAGCTATACTCCAAATAGACTGAATTGGCAACTCCAGCTATTACTGGTCACGGGACATATAGTGGGTACTAAATGTAAACATCAACATCGTAAACCACAGTGTGCTCATTGAACACAGTATATTGAGAGAGTTATGTTTTTTAGACAGTGACCCAAAGTAAGGCAGGCCTATATTAATTTTTAAATAGTGATTTATAATTACTTTGGCAATCTGCATTTTATTTAGGCTCTGAAATGCTGCTAGTGTACGGTAGGCTACATATGTATAGGCCTACTACTAGACTGCACTGTGAGTGTTAAGCCTCGACCAGGGCCCGGAGCAGGGAGGGAGTTGTTATGCCTCGACTATATATCTCTGTAGTCGTGTACTGTAGGTAATAAAATAGAAAATAACCCTTAACGGTACTGATTGCTCAACCAGACTGGTGATAATAGGCCTGGTTGGGATGGTACATCCTAATGCCAGTACGTAATAATAATCTGTCATACGATGATCATTATCCTTGGCAGCAACTACAAACATCCTATGATTTAATTTTGGATTTAAAATAACTGTAAAATAACTCTTGCAACGAATGGTGAGATTCATTTGCCATGAATAATATTCTTGACTTAGGCCAGGCCTAAAAAGTACCTCAGCCGGCACGACTCCACTGGAGCAATACGCACGTCTTGAAGGTACCATACATTGACCAGGGCCTGGAGCAGGGAAGGAGTTGTTATGCCTCGACTCTATATATCTCTGTAGTCGAATAGGTACCGTACCTTGACCAGGGCTTCCAGGATTTATTCCCACACCAAACTGAAAAGTCTTTGAAAATTTAATTTTGGAACACTTCTCAATGATTTACCAAATTATAACTCGCATACCAACCAACATTTGCAACATATATGATGTGACTTACATCAACAACAAGGCGAAGCCATATTCAATGCACTTTCGCCTCGCGATCTCGATAAATGTAAAAAAACCCTAATACCCACTATAAGTCACATGACCCGAGCCATCTATCTGGTCTATTATCTCCATCCGCAACGGATCACTTTCAATGACGATCTGTTCGAACTGCAACCGACAATCAGCAGATGGCGTAGAGATGCCTAGCACAGGGAGCGAAGTTGGATTCGTTGTATAACGCAGAGAGTCCCCCGCCTAACAGATGCCATCACAGGCAGTGGTACCAGCAGGGTGCACAGAGGAAATTTCCTTGCACATGTAAATAAATTTATTGTGATTGCATGGTGATCAACAACGTATTTAAGCTCCAACGGTGCTTGCAGATGTTTCTATGGTAGCAGAGGTTTTGAGGCCCTGCCTATAAACAGTCCTGTGCCTTCCCATGATGGAAGCCCCGTCTCTTTTTTTTGTATTCGGTGGATAAGTGTCTTATTGGCAAAGCTCTGACCTCCTGATTAGTCACATCATCGAAATGGTGAAGCCCCGCCCTCTTCTTGATTGGTTACTCCAATATCCTCCATTAGAGACTCAAGCCAAGTTGTACCATTGATTACTTGAGTAGTAATTATTGTATAATCAGTTGGAGCTGAAAAATTAAGTACAGAATTGAGGAGTTACTGTTGATAAAAATTTGATTCATTTTATACTAGTAATGGGGTTAAATTTGATATGAACATCAACATGACAGAGGAAAAGACCAAAAGATATTTTAAACATAAAATCAAGTTCTGTGTTTAGATACAGTACTTCTGCTTCTAAATGTTTTCTTTTAGAGTGGATTGGATTTATTTGGTGTAAACACCAAGCATAGGATAGCCCATGAAAGTCTAGAGGAAGACTTATTTCCAGCGGGGTCCTTCTGGTGGTGATTGGGCAGTACACTGGCAGACAATCCCCTACACTTTTCTGAAGAGTTTACTCCGTTCTTTAACGTACACAAGGGCCATAAATGCACACGGCACCAACAGCTTAAACGTCTCATCCGAAAGACGGTGCGCTATTGTAACTTGTATTTCAGCCCTCCAGCTGAAACACAAGGAGAGGCAGCAATGGGAATTGAACCGGGGACCTAGAGATCTCCACGGTTCAGCACACACACAGTGGCTACCACCAGATTAGCCAACTGAGATTAATCCACCGATACCTTTGACCTATAAAAATGCATTAATCCATTACTATCCACTACATCTCTGCTACTTACCATCTTCCTGTTGAGACAGGAACCGCAGGGCAGCAATCTCAGCAAAGGTTACACCGCCGAGGAAAATTACTAACGTCATTTTCTGGTTGTCTCCATCACTTCCTGGTGAACCTAAAGATAGAAAATTCAATTTATAGAGGAGATCCAAGAACCCGAAATAATTAAAATGTGGGCATTTTTTACTAATTGTTTGTTTATCAAAAGTATTTGTACTATTTTTTACATAAACTGATGGATTATTTCTTGTGTTAAAGAACAAGGAATGTTTTACTGCACTGCAGATCAATGAAAGAGCAGATATAATAATGTTACAGCGGTACTTACGTTTTTTTCTTAGGCCTACTGGTATTTGCTGTTTCTCCTCCACTAATGGGCCTGGAAGCAATCTTAATGCCTCCTCAATACTCCGCCATCCAGGCTTGGCCAAATATTGAGCTAGCCTAACCGACAATGGTGCATAACCACTGAAGACATATGATATATCATTTGGATTCTAAAAATAATTGAGATAAATCAAGATAAATATCATTAAACATTATCAAGTTTCTCCTATTTATGTGATATGGGGGGGGGGAGAGGGTGGAGTGGTCATTGTCATTGGCTTCCTCCTTAATTCATTTGTCTCTAAATTTAATATATCAGCAAAAAGTACAGAATTGCAAGCGGTCCAACTGCCCTGATTTTGTATGCACGCATTGAAACATTGAATAAGTACTACCACAAGGTAGGGGGCGCCCTATTAGAATTTTCATCAAGTTCCAGGCTCGAACGTGTGTTCTGTATTTGTGAGGTCTCACCACAAAATTAGTCTCATGGTTAGAAATTCAAAAATTGAGTTTTATATTATATTTGGGTAGATCACATTATAAGCTTTCATTTGGTCTTTGAATGGCTTCCCTACTATAAGTAAATCCAGAAATGTGAGCATTTAAAGATTAGGTGTATAAGAACCACGTTTTGAGAAAATCGACCTCAAAGATAAACTAACCTGTACAAATTATATGACTAGAATTACCGAACATGTACAGAGAACACTGTTTTGGCAAGAAATTTACTTACAAAGTATACAATCATAAAATACAAGTATCAAGTTATTCCAAAGCATTAAAATCAAAATTTTGTAAAAATGTTGACTTTGGCCTCTTTTGGTGAAAATCTCAATATGATTTCACCAACGATGCGTCTCAATTCGTGTTGAGACCTCACATTTGAGGTAGTACTTTTTGAGACAGGATTGCGTTCCAACGAACCCCTAGAGTTGAACCACTTACAGTTCTATACTCTTTGGTATCAGGATCACAAACTCATAGTAACACATTTCTCATGAGCCTTTGCAATTCACCATCCTGTAATAATAGATAAAAGGGTTGTGTACCTGTTCATTGACTTCCTCCATCACTAGTTTGAGTGTTTTACGAATCGTTGAGTACGACTTCTGACTTTGCTGTTTTAACAAACCAATTTTTTCCAAATTGTGGAGTGTGACAATATGTTCAAAGCCATAAGTCTGGTGGTAAAAAATATTCTGGATATTAATATTGTTATTCTAATCATAATACTTAATTTGCAAGCATTTCCTTAGTATTTATAAAAGATTTAGTAACTTTAACAACAACAAAATATACAACAATATAAAAACAATATTGAGAATCATTGAAAGATTTTATTCTTACCTGTAAAATTTCCCTTTTGTAAAAATCTAGAATTTTTGGTTTAAGCCCACTGTTGGTCAATGATTGCATACACACCAATCGAAGAACCTGAAGTCATCAATAAATAATAAAATAATAATAAACTTACTTTTTTTTACACTTGCAAACTGAAACTGTAAATTGTTGGCTGGGCTTGAAGACTCGCGGCAGCCACAGTTTATCGCTAAGCAGCATGTACCAGACAAAAAAATAGTTGAGAGGCTGAGCAATCAGACCCAAATTCAAACCTGCCAGAGTCATAAAAGGCAGGAACAATAGCACGTAGCCCAAGGAGTTTTCACTGTACATTTAAAAGTCCTTGCTTAGCCAAACAAATACTCTACTACATCTCAAATAATTTTATCACATTAAACAGCAAGTACAGTATGTAAAATTCAGTGCTTAAATTTCAGTTCAGATAGTGCTTGAGAATCTCTGGTTTTAAATATTACATTTGTTTATAATAGAAACAGATTGTACAGCAATGTTTTACCTTCACTATAGGTTCCTTCTTGCCGATACAATCCTCAATAAAATTGTTAACTTTATCTGTCTCTGATCCACTCAAAAACTCTGAAGCAAATGGATAGTTATTTATTCACATATTATACATTATTCTTATAAAACTCTAAATCAACAATATTATCCTGAATAAAGGGTGCATTTGGCCTATGTGATTACATTATTCTTGATTCCATGGCATGCGAGTGATTACTGGACACAAGTACACAGTGGTAACATACCTTGCTGCATGTGTAATGATTCAAGAAATGCACTCTTATCTGTAACTTCTTTGACAAGTTCAGCTATAGAAGTGTCTAAAAACCAAAACAAAAATGCTGTTATAATTTAATTATTCCCATTATTATCTGCATAATTTTGGAGTGGAGTTGAATAGCTTAGTGGTTAAGATGCTTTGCCTTCTAATCCCAGGGTCCTGGGTTCAATTCCTGTAACAGCAGAACTTTTTCTCGCGACTAAAAAAAAACTCCACTCGCTAAGTCTCATAAAGAGACTTCACTGATAAAAGCATCAGATTATTTAATTTATTTAAAGAGGGCCCCTGAATATTAGCTGACTTTCCAGAATACACTGGAAGCATCACCCTCTATAAATAAAGTAAAAAAAAAAAATTGTGTTCATTTACATTATTGTACAATTTGCCTTAATCATTCCACCTCACTTGTTACTACTATCTTTCATCACTGTAAACATCATATTAACACTGCTGCTCTCAAGTTTATCATTACAAAATTTAAATATGATTATTTTTGATACAATCATAAACATTGTCATCTTTAGCATCATCAGCTCATCGCAATGCTATCCTTTTATCAATGCCAAATCCTCATCATTTCTTCTTCATTCATATCATTCTCATCCTTCCTTTCTACTATGCATCCTCATCATCCTTGTCAACCCATCATCCTTCCTTTCTACTATGCATTCTCATCATCCTTGTCAACCCATCCTCCTTCCTATACCATCCATTTATTCACCTTCATCCTCACTCACTTCTCATAACCACCCCTTCATCCTCATCATATTTTGTATCCTCCTCCACCTCTTCTTTTTGTCCCCATCCTCCTTTTTGTCCTACAGATTGCATTTTCAGTCCCTACTCACGTGTAGCAAGTGACTGCTTTGCTGCCTGAATATGCGGTAATTTTGAGACAAACTCCTTGATCTCGCCCACTGTCCGAGCACCTTTCCTTTCCTACCAACAAATAAAATAGGGTATATAGTCACTATTAGCATTAATAGTCATTATAAAAATTAAATTAATAAATCTTTGTGCAACAAACTTTCTGTGTTTTTTTTAATATTTTTTTTTTTCAATTTTTCAAAATTATTTTTAACAAATGCAGTAATGCACATAATAAAAACAAAATTTTTTATACTTGATTTGTATTACCTCAACTTGAGCAGACAATATCTTGGCTTTCCTGCTAAGCTCTGTGCCAACTGCATGGAAGTTTCGATCTCTAACAACAGCGAAGAGTTCATCACCAGAATTTAGGTGAAATTTCTTTGGTTCCGTCGCGACGTCTGCTTGGTCACCTTCATTCTTCTTAGCAAACTTGGCTGCAGGAAGTTTCACCGTGGCTGATTAAAAAAAATAGATATATAAAAATAACTGAAATATTGTTTAAAATTACATTATTCATTTTTTAGTTGATAAGATATTTCATCAGTAAATTATTAATATGCTTGTATTCAGTACACAAAAAAATTATAATATATTATTATATAGCATCTCCTCTTATGAACAATATATTTTGACAAAATAGTTTTTGCATTAGGTTACTCACTATTAGATATGCCAAAAATTTCATCAATAAGGCCTTCATACGTCAGCTGAGTTGCTAATGGTGTTAGGAGATCCACCGTTCGATCCAATAACAGCACGGTGTCTATCTGAGGCGTGATTTGGCGTTCACTCACTGCAAGCTCTCTTCTCATTCTTAATATCATATCTGATACTTGCTGTAGATATGAACAGGATAATATACTCATCGGTATATGCAGAATTTTCCATGGGTCAAAAAGTGCTATTATCCCTCTGGCGATTAGATATTTTAACCTATTTTTCCTTCTTCATGATGAAGATGAACAAAGAAAAAGTGCCATGCCCCTTTAACAGATATCAACTTGGAAAGGTATTTGGGAAAAATCAACTTACTTTTGCATATTCTCCTTTACCATATATATTTGGGATAACACCATACAATGCTTGAATTTTCATCAGAGCCTTTGCCATATAAAACATACCTGTTGGGTCACGATGAAGATAGCACTCCTACGGAATAAAACAAATTCAACATTTTTTTTCTAAGGATTATACACATGCCCAAATACTTATGTAAAAGACAATAGAAACTAATGATGTTGATGACGACGATGATGAGGTTGATGTTAATGATAATATGATGGTGATGAGAATGCTAATGATGAAGGTGATAATAGTGATGTGAAGATGATGATGATGAAATAAGATTATGGTAAAGTTGATGATGATAAAATGATAGGGATTATGACAACAGCAAATAAATGCTTATATGCAAGACTAACCTTAAAAATGGAGGTCATGTCCATCGAGAGTAGATCACTGTCAAGAGGGAGCAACTCCAGACCAAATTCACCGATGTTGTTAAGATTTCCATAGACACCAAGCTCCTAAGATACGAAGTGAAATGAAGTTGATGTAGGATCAGAAAATTGCAACAGAAATGCACCCTGGGAGTTTAAGAATTGTATTGGCTCCACAGGGGGAGCGTTAGATTGATACAACAGATTCATTAATCTGGAACATGCGTTCTATGTTCTACTTCGATGTTTTACTCTATGATGCATATGCGACGATGTCAGAAACGCAAAGACATGATGCACTCACGTTTGGAACAGTACAGACCTCGTTCTGACCTGAACGTAGATTCTGCCGTCAATAAGATTTCAGGAGAGAGAACGCTCAACGTTCAGACATGTCCAGTTTAATTAACGTGACATCATTACGAGGTCAAATGAAAGTCATGTTGTGGCAATTAATGAGAGATGAGCGTCTTGTGCATTCACCTTTTGATCGTATATTTGGTTTGAAAAAATGAGCAGGACCAAAATGTGAAATTAGAAATTTTTTTTTGCTGCATCACTTAGTTCAACAGCTTAACACAACAACAACACAGCAACACAATTTCGTGACTAGAAATAGTTTCTTTAAAAATACAATAAAATTAAACCAGTTTTTATACAATATTTACAATATTCTTGCCAAATAAAAACAGTCCCTCCCTCATCAATAAAAAAAAAAAAAACATATTTCCAAAAAAAAAAAAAAAAAAAAAAAAAAAAACAACCAACCTCATAACAATAAATTTTTTTAAAAAAGATTGATAATCTATTTAATTTTTTCTATGTGACCTAATACTTGACTACCTTTAATTTATTCTCACACAAGAGACTCTTGCCAGGGACAAAAAATATGTGATACTCCTTTCTAAAACCTCCAACTTTTTCTTCCTCTCGAATGTTCTCTGCAACCAGCCTCATCAGCTTCAGAATTGGTCGGGTGATGAAGATCACGTTCTGAACATTGTTTTGCGGCAGACGACCTGCACGAAGAGGGAACATCTTCTCCACTTCATTTTCCTGCAGGAAAAAAAAACAAACAAACAAAAAAACAGGAAATTCAAACATATCATTCCTGTTCATTGTATGCTGTAATATTTACAAAATGTAACAGCTGTGAAGTGTACCTTTAGTAATGAGTACTCAGCTATTAGGCCAACTGGGCTGATGAGTGGATCATCCCAAACAATAGCCTGGGAAAAAAAAACAAATACAGATAGAGATAAGATACATTATATTCTAACAGCCAGTCATTTAATTTTAATGGACTGAAACTCTAATTTTTATATATATATAAACAGGCCTAAGCTAGGCTAGGCATAATAAATAATAACAATTATTTATATTATTAATTATTATTATATTATTACTTAGTTTTCACTTCAGGATAGACAAACAATTACGTGTGTTTCGTACTCTAGTCAAGGAAAAAGACTGAGCGTAATTAAATTGTAGGCCTACTCCATAGACCAAATATAAAGACGACTAGCTGGGGTCCACCTGGGCCTAGGCCTATGTCTAGGTAGACACCGTTCACTCTACCCCGTATAGCCATAGGCCTATCGATCGGCGACCCTCGCTCCACCAGGAAACAGCAACAGAGGCCTGGATTTTCCTTCTACATCTGCAAACATAAAATACACCTTTTATGAAACAATCGCAGAATTATTAAAGATTTATACGTACTTTACTCCCTGCACATTTGTCAAGACATTCCAATAACTCTTTCTGGGCAACTTCTTTCCATTTTTGAGCGAGATTTACACGCCCACCACCACTGTTTAGATGCGCCATCTTCTCATCAGATCATCCATTCATCCATCACATCCAGGATTCTAAATGGAATGGTCCAAAAAAAAAAACCCAGAAGACTCCAACACATGTGTAACTAGTAGAATAATAAACCTAAGCTTCGTGCATCTAAATTATAATTTACCAAACAAATTATGACATGTTATAAACTAGAAATGTTAAATAAAATCGAGGTTGTGATTGACACCAAAAATAAATTAACACTTGTATGCCCCCTCTTTCCTTATTATTGACTTTCCCAGGTGGCGCCCTTTTCTTGAATGGAATTGGACAGAAGTTTTGAGCTGACCAAAGAAAATTGGAGAGTGAATACTTACTTAAAAGGCTACAAATCCCAAGTTATAAGTAATACTAGTTATTGTAAGTTCATTGATTTTTGTTCAAGGCTTATAGATAAGATATGTGCACTTGTTTTAAGTTAATCTTCTCATTCGAAGCTATAATAGTCTTGGTGTTTCTTTTAGGCTTCTTCTTTCTGTTAATCTTCATCTTTGTGTTCAGTGACAGAGTAGTGGTGGCACCCTTCTTGCCTGTTGGGCGCGCTTTGAGAGGTATATCATGCCATTATTACACGGCCGAGAGGCCTAGTCCCAGACTACATCTCCTATGTCAGGTTGCATGTAATTCGAGATGTGGATACGCTGTAACGGCAAATGAACAAATTAAATGCCCATGAATCTATTCAAAAGATCTAATTATTCAAGTAGCTTCGTTTCAAACAGTTGTAGGCCTAATCCTGACCTGGACCTCTTTCAGTCGGTCATCAATTTTCAAACAAGAAGTTTCATTACAGTCTGCTTTCGTTTTATTTTGTTTACATAAAATGGCATCTAAAAGAATTGTGATACGACTGATTAGTGTTTATATTTCTCTTTGTAAGTACAAATGTTTTGTAACGTTCATAATAATTTTTAATACAAAATTATAAATTTTGATTTTAGTTAATTTTGAAGTCAATACACTTTTTATTATAATTAAGTTTAGTAGCAATGTTTTTACTGTTTAGCAAGAATTTGTATACAATTTCTTAATGTACTTTATAAATGAATCTTAATTTTCTTGAATTTTGAATGACTTATAATATTTGGGATTTTTAAATTTTAAATTCCTGAGTCGTACAATGTTATTAAATGTGATAAACGTAACCATTGAGTTCCTCATGTATGCTGTATTCATTTATTTTTATACATCTTGGTTGGCAATGATGCATTTACATGCTTACTTAGTATCTGATTATTACTATTTATTAATATTCTTTAACATCAACAAGTGTGAGTAGTATTTTTTTATTTGTATTTTTTTCTTGTCATTTTATCTGAAATTTGTCTGGTAATATGTGTACATACTTCTCACAACCTATTGAATAATAGTTGATCACACATTCAGTTGTTTTATGTTCTCATGAATTCTACATAGAATAATTTTATGAAATGCTATACTTTCCTTCTGAAATTCCCACCATAGATACTGACGACACATGTAATTAAATAATTCTAAATAGGCAGGATATATGGCTGGTGTTGCAATATGAGAAGCAGTGCTATTTAATATTATTCATCTATCCATGCTGCTTTTGAAAAAAGTAAAACCTGAAACAATAATCAATAACTGGTACAATCTGTTTTTATGTAAATAATAGTGTTGAATAATATCATTTATTTAAAATTATTATATATATATATTTTTTTTTTTTTTTTACCTTTTTAATTCAGTTATCATGAAGTGTGAGCACCACAACTTATTACAGATATGAACGGGTGCAGATCCAATGTGGGGGGTGGGGGAGTGGGCACAGGACGGGGGTCATGTTTTGCCACTATTTTTTAAAATTTTAATGCATATATTGAAATTAGCGCTACTCACTATTATTCTGAATATGTTGTGCCCCCTCCAATGGTTTGAAAAGTTCTGGATCCGCCCCTGATTAACGATAATTAAGTTTTCAATCATTGTATTTTCTTTGTATTTGATGTTTTACAGTTGTCTCTGAGCCTGAAGCAGCTGACCCCTTCTTGGCATTCAGCAACACAGTTGATATTCGTCGGTTTGATTTAGATGGCACCAACTACAAGGTTGTTGCCTTTGACCTCAGCAATGTCGTTGCCCTGGACTTTGACTTTTCATCCAGTAACATATATTGGTGTGATGATATATCTCATAAAATCCAGAGGTATGGGTATAGTTAATCAGTATTGATTCAGTTTAATTCAGTATAATTTTATCCAACATACCAGTGAATAAAATTGAAAAAGAAATTTAAAAAGATTGTTATTGGAGTTCCAAAGAGCATTTAAACAAACTTAACTTATTGTCTAATCTAATCTGGTTATTTATATAGCGCCTTACTTTACAGATACGAAGCGCTGTAAGATTTTCCCTGGTCATTGGGTCCGCATGCTTAAGTGTTTGCTGCCATCTTGGCACAGGATCAGTCAACCCCACCAGGTACCCATTTATACTCCTGGGTGGAGAGAAGCAACGTAGATAAAGAACTTTTGCTCAAGGACACAAGCGAAATGCACAGAGAGGGATTGAAACCCCAACCTCGGGGTTAGGTCACCAAACCGTTCCTGCTGCGCCTAACTGCTTTCACAAAGCAACCTTATCATCTGCATAGACATTTATGCATTACAATAACCACATATTTTCTTGCTTTACTTAATATCTTTCAGAACACAACTGACTGGTAGAAGAGCAGTGCGCGATGTAGTTACCAGCAATGTAGAGGAGCCAAGAGGTATTGCTGTGGATTGGGTTGGCAGGAAAATTTATTGGACAGATACTGGTAAACTAATTTACGTTACTTCTGCTCTCTTTTATGTTTGTGACCGGCTCTGGCAAATTTAAAATTGAGTTTTTGGTATATTTAGGTTCTGCATGAATTCTTCATTAAAACAGTGTTTATTTGATGGAAATTTGCTGAGTATTAGCAAGGTTATGAATATATAATTCATTGGATATTAGCCATGTAGGTTTTGAGAAAATAATTTTAACATATTGTTCTGTTAGATTTAGTGATTGATATTTTGCAGAAATTTTTTTTATTATATTTTTTATAAAATTCCAAAACATGGAAATGTTCAAAATACTGATATTCTCATGCGTTTTGGGTGCTTGTGCGAAATTAGAAATTGCGAAAAAATGGCGGGTTTTGTAAGAGCTGGTCATATTTTATACCTTCATTTTAAGTCTTTCATATGTCAGTAGTGGCTGGCCTAAATTTGCTTGAAGGGTGAGACGGAAATGAATAAAATTACTGTACTTAGCTTTAAACATTGTATTTTCAAACCTTTCAGGTTGTTTGTCACTTCCTGTCTCTTGATATTTGTTAAGCTTTGTCTACACTATTAAATTTTATGTGACGAAAAAAATGTGATGTGCCCATATATAGGTTTGATGATGTCATATCACATACTATCTCCTATACTAACTCCTATTTTCCATCACATTTTATGTGATGCTTTTTTTGCTTTTTTGATGAAATTTGTTAGTGTAGACAAAGCTTTAGTTATTGTGTATAAATTACAAGTGATATCGATATTACATTTTGCAGCTAGAGGTGTAATTGAAAGCGTTGATCTTAATGGAGAAAACCGTACAGCAGTGATAACTGAACATGTGACTAAACCACATGCTATCGTGCTGCATCCACATGAAAAGCTATTGTTCTTCAGTGACGTTAATGATGCCAATCCAGCAATACACAGGGCTATGTTACCGGATGGCTCTAACCAAGAAATCATTGTCAGCAACGACTTAATCAGGCCAAATGCACTTACAATTGATTATGAGAATAGCGTTAGTATTATTTGTAATTTTTTTATGGTGAAATGAAAGGAGCCGATTTGACATCTGCCCTGTCACCATTGAAAAATACACAACTTAGAAACTGTGATCTGTATGACCTTTTTTAAAAATTTGATTTATTTATTGTTTATTATCTCAATTATTTCAGAATGTAGATTAGTGTGTTTTGAAAATAAAGTATATTAATACACACCAGAGTCTTCCCACAATTTATGGTATTTTAGAGGGCTGTCTCTTATACACATCTAGATGTGTATAAGAGACAGCTGCAGTGCACTCATCCAAACAGCTCCAAGAAGAAGGTAATATTTTCACAGGTTATAATATCCTAGTACTAGTAAGGGATTTGCAATTAGCGTCACTTTTGAGGGTACCATTTGAAAATAATAACTTAAAGGAGACATTAGTTTCTTGAAAGCAATTTTTAAAGCACTAATAACTCCTAAGAGCACTATTTCAATTAATAGCTTTACACTAAATTTTATCCAAACTTCAAATTTTCTTCGAACATTTCAAATTTCTGGCCTTATGTAGCCAGTTGCATAGTATTGCCTGGCGGCTTTTTTCTCCCGTTTTTTACAGGCCAGCATTTATCTTTCTGGGCCATTGTCTCGATCACAATTCCTAAACACCCGGTCGTCTAAGCAGGGGTCCAGGAATGCGCCATGGTGGTGTCCCCCAAAGAGTATTTGCATCTTTATTTTGCCTATCTACCCATCTGTCCCAGTTTGTTATAAAATAAATAAACCAAAAAAAAAAATAATAATAAATAAAAAATGCAGAAAAAAGGTCTTTACTTTACAGGTGGAAAACAGCACACCGAGCAGCTTTGCTAGAAATCGATATGTACGCCAAATAAGATGACATTATTATTATTATTATTATTTTTGTAAAAGGTGAAAATAATTATGATGTTGTGATTGACTTGTAGCATGCAGGGGTGGCAGAACTTTTTTCAATGCCGGGGGACCCACTAGTAAAATGAATGGGAATGTGAATTGCGAGGGAGCCGATCACACAAAATACTACTCATCTTTTATTTACTTGTATCAGATGTCAACTACTGCTCAGCTAATGATGGTAACAACCCATGTGGACACATTTGCATAGATTTCTATGGCAACTACCAGTGTGACTGTCTGCATGGTTATGAACTAGCATCAGACCTCCACACATGTGAAGGTAAGTGGCTAAGACGCCAACTCAAGTCTTGAAGCCTACCCTGCAGGTCAGTTCAATTGTTCTTAAAAAGTATTTCTCTTTCTATGAAATAACCATTCATTTATCTATCCATCCATCCATCTATCCCTCCTTTTATCCATATTTCCCTCTATCCATCCATCTATCCATCCATCCAACAGACCATATCCATTCTTCCATATCTCCATCCACCCATCCATCTCTCTATCCATCTATACACCCACCAATTTACACATCCATCCATCTATCTTTGTGTTCGTATCAGTCTGTTAAGTAATGAAATATCTTTCTCTTCTATCCAGATATCAACGAGTGTAGTCTTAACAATGGAGGCTGTATGCACCATTGTGTGAATAAGGAAGGTGGATATAGCTGTGATTGTATTGAAGGTTTTGAAATTGCAAACGATGGCAAGTCATGTATAGGTGAGTATCAATACATAACATGTCATTTTCACATTAATAAATAGTATTTTAGCATTTATATAGCACTCTTTACTGGAGTCTCTCAGTGCTTAAACAGTATGATGTATGGTAACAGGTGTAGCAATTTATAATATGAAAAAAACTTCATTCCTTTCAACATCAAACCCTGAAAATACCTGTATTTTGAAATGACGATTCAAACCATTCTGAAATATGTTTGGTTTAACACTTAGGAATTAGCCACTTTGTTTTGGGTATTACTAAAATGGTTTCATTTATTTTGTAAATGTTGTGATTTTATATCTCAATTATTTCAGAATGTAGATTGGTGTGTTTTGAAAATAAAGTATATTAATACACACCAGAGTCTACCCACAATTTATGGTATTTTAGAGGGTTTTTTGTAGCTCAATTTATACGTGGAAACGGCTTGGCACAGCATTCAGGGCCTCGAGGTCGGGGTTTCAATCCCTTGCTGTGCTTTAATTTTTGCTGTGTCATTGTGCAAGGCAATTTATCTGCATTGTTTCTTTCCACCAAGGAATATAAATGGGTGCCTGGTGGAGTTGCCTTTTGCTGCGTTGATTACCAGCAGCAACACTTAAAGCATATGGACCCAATGACCAGAGAAAAACAATGCACTTTATAAACTAAAGGAATAGGGGCTATATAAAAATACAAACTAAACTAACTGAACTATGCTGCAGAGACAAAAGTTATTTTCATAACCTGTATATACCTAATTTGTTTTCTGGCAGTAAGAGACAAGGGTTTTCCAGGATCATGTTTAATATTTATCTTTTTATTAATATTTTTATTGGTAGCATTAAAGGAATTAATTGAACGGTACAATTTTTGTGTGTTACGTATTATGTTGTCTTTGACCCTAGATTCTGATGATTGCTACCTGAATAATGGAGGGTGTGAGTTTGGCTGTTTCAACACCGGAGTTTCCTACATTTGCACATGCCCCACTGGATATGAACTAGCAGATGATGGCCACAGCTGTATTGACATAGATGAGTGCTTACAAAACACGTGTCCTGAGAGCAGCCAGTGTATGAACAACAACGGATCCTTTGTGTGTCTATGTGATGATGGACTCTACTTTGATGCTTTCCCATTTGCGTGTATAGATGTTGATGAATGTGTTACGCAGATGCATGTGTGTAGTCAGCGATGCGTGAACACACCTGGTAGCTACAGGTAAATTAATTGAATATAATTCATCATTATAGATAAATAGTAAAGTACTTTAAAACTATCTAGATATATACCATTTTCGCTAAATTTGAATTAAAAATTTCCGAGAACCTGGCAACTACCACTTGGGGATATCCAGAGGCCTAGGCATTTCACTCTACATAGTTACAAGTGTTTAGCTGTGTTCTGTGACTGGTGGACAACCTTCTTGTAGAGGTCTAGTCTAACCTTTGAAAAAAAAAATAAATAAAAATAGGGTGCATAAAACTTGCAGTGTTTTTGATTGTGGAGTACTCAAAAGAAGATACTGTTTATGTCTAGAAAAATCAAATTTGCTCAGGCTTGGCTGCTGGATGTCCCCCAGTGAAAAGTTGCGAGACATTGGTGGCGCTGTTTAAAAATAGACCCAATAAAATAGTGTATAGGGAGAACATCTTAAGCTCCGTCCCCACTATTAAATTTTGTGACAGATTTGTGTGATGTGCCCATATATGGGCATGATGATGTCATATTACACCCATATATGGGCATATCATATCATATATATTTATATAAGCACCCGTGTTGAATGAGTCGCCCTCTCAAAGCATGAAACAATATAGTGGTGAAAACAACAATTAAAATTCTAATAATAATAATAATAATATGATAGATAAAATTTATGTGATAAAATAATGTATTTTATATCAAAACCACTGCACGTTAAACATATTTAAAATAAAATAGGTTTTTTTAGATTTACCTATTAAGTGCATTTTCCTCCTCGTCTCTCCTTTAGATGTGATTGCAATTCTGGTTTTGAACTGCTTCCTGATGACATGACCTGCCTTGACATTGATGAATGTACCAGGTCACATGACTGTCATCATTCTTGTATGAATGTTGCAGGTGAGTTATTTTGCTGTTAAATTTAATACATTTGCATTTCGTCCGAGTTATATTTCCTTGCAAGATGGCAACTATAGCAAGAAGTTTCTCCACATCCTCTGATGAGCAAGCCTGGTGTCTAGAGCCTCTATTTTATAATCAGGGTGGTTTGGTATCAGTGTTAGTCTGGTTTTTGCAGGCAGGCATACTATACAGCTATAATGGTTTTCTACACTTTTTTTTAACCATATTTATAGAGGGTAACCATTCCAGAATATACTAGAAGGTTGGCTGATATTCAGGGGCCACCCTCTTAAATATATCAAATAATATGATGCTTTTATCACCAGAGTCTAATTCTGAGGCTTAGTGAGTGGAGTTGTTTTTAGTCGTGAGAGGAAGTCCTGCTGTTACAGGAATTGAACCCAGGATCCTGGGATTAGAAGGCAAGGATCATAACCACTACTATTCAACTCCACTTTATATTTTTTATAAAGTTAAGAACAGTTTTTCCATGGAAATGGCAAGTTACTCATGTTAGAAGAGTACAAAAATGTGAATGAAATCTCTATACAGGGAGATCAAAACTTACAATTATATTTAATAAATTGTTATAATTTTCAGGATCTTATTTATGTTATTGTGAAGTTGGCTATACTTTGAACAAGAATGGTAAGAACTGTACTGTAGAGTCTTGTGGTATGCCAGATGATGTCCCAGGGTTCATCCTTACATGTCAATCATCCTATTACCTAGCAACCTGCCATGTGCAATGTATTCAAGGTTTGTTCTGTTAATTACATTGTGGTGGTATTTTGGTTGTTATGGTGATGATGATGATGTGAAGATTATAAGGATAATGATTATGATGATGAGAATAAAATGGTAGACCTAGTGATGATGTTTAGATGATTTTGATGATAATGATGATGTTGACAATGGTGAAAATGATGATGATTATAATGAAGATGATGATGTGTATTGATGATCATTAGGATGATTATGTCTTTGTTCACATCAGCCTATTTTCACTTACATCAATCAACAGGTAGCATCCTTGGCTCACCTGTCATCACCTGTCAATCAGATGGTAGGTGGTCACCTGTAGCAGCTGAGTGCCTAGCCTCTCCAGATATGCTATCCAACTCTCCTCCAGCCGACGTCTGGCTATCATCAAACAGCGTACCTGAGGATGCCTTTGCAGGTGATATCGTCGGCTACCTGCACACCTTCGATCTAAATCCCGAACAGAATCATGTTTATGTTTTGGATGATGATATTTCTGGTAAATTCTACATTGATAATCAGTTACCTGGTCTTAGAACCCATGGTAAGTTCATGGAAAACTGAATATTTGCCATTTTGATTAATTAAAGAAATTTAACAATAATTATTTATAAGTAACATGCAACAGTTAGATGTGAACTTAGTTCTTGTACAAGAAAAATAAAATGATTCTTTAATCCTTTACCATTTTATTTAATAGGAAACCTAGATTTTGAAGCTGTATCAGCTCACACCATAACTATCACATCGTCTGACAATGGTGATCCCCCTGCATCAGCTTTGTTCAACCTCACAGTAAGCGTTTTAGACATCAATGAAGCTCCACACAGCATTATCCTCAATAACACAGCAATAGGTAGGTGTGACTGTGGCTTATGTGGAAAAAGTTATTTTAATATTTTAACGATGATATGTTTAATGGTGGTTGACTACATAAACATATCTGGCTTGGGGCCATAAAGGCCACAGTATATTAATATTAAATGTCAGGATTTTACTCATCTATATGAAGATTAATGCAGTTGTGTTTTTCGTTATAAAATCTATTTTTGTACTGTTGTTACATGGATATGTTTAATAATAGTAAATATTTGTGTACAGTTTAGATCACTTTAATACAGTATTTATCTGTAGTTTATATAGTTTCACAAATCAAAGGTTGATTGATTGATTGGTTGATTTGCTGTATTGATGTATAAATTGTTAAGTATCAAATAGAAGATGTGGATGATATCATCAAACAAGTCAGGTTCTCCTAACAACCTGCTTATATAGATCAAATCATAGGCAACAAAATGATTTTGATTTAATAGGTGAGCATGCACAACAAGGGGCTGTTGTTGGAACCTTCATGGTGTCTGATCCCGATCTCAGTCAAGATCATATCTTTTCATTGGTTACATCAGGAGAAGGGCGATTCAGAATCATGGAAAATCAGTTAATCGTTGATAGCGCTCTGGATTATGAGGAAAGAACGCAATATGATTTGCTGGTGCGTGTATGGGATAATGGTGTTCCACCAATTTCCCATCAAGATTATGTCACGGTCAAAATTTTAGATGAAAACGATTTACCTACTGGAATTATATTAATAGCGGATGATGTTGAAGAGTATGTAAATGGAGATGACATGTATAAGAACAAGGTGATCGGCACTTTAATAACAACAGATCCAGATGCGACGGATTTGCACGCGTATCTGCGAGTGTATGATGATACGCATCACTGCTTTTTTCTTGACATTCCTAACATCCTTGTCGATAGACCTGAATGTTTTGATTACGAAGTGCGGACACACATCGGGATCATGCTGTTAGCGAGCGACTCCAAGCATAAAGTGATTTGGCAGTTTGTAAGCTTCAATATCGTTGATGTGAACGAACCAATAGAAGATGTGATGATGTCATCAAGTGTTGTTGTTGAGTATTCACCCTTGGGGACTATTATTGGTGTTCTATCAATTCAGGATCCAGACAGAACCGACGTGCATACTATCAAGATTCTTCATGGACCAACCTATGTGGCAATCTCAGGTAAAATCACTTGCATTATAATGTATGTGAGTTACTAGTTTCTAATTCAAATTATACTTTTTGTCTATTTGTGTAATTACATTTAAGTATTCATTTTCCTTTAGATTCCACATCTAAGACAAAACAAAAAAATGGCAAGAATTTAAAATTGAATAAAATTTTTTACATTTTTTTTGTTGGTTTTTCATTCAATCTTCATTTCTATTTATGGCAATAAATTTTCCTCTAGTGACGAAATGTGTAAGTTTGTGATCTATTTATGTGTATATTAGCCAACATATAACTACTGTAAACCATAATATTACACAGGTCTAAAATAGAAATTTAATAATCAAGGTACATCTCACCCTCTGTCAACAGATGAAGCCCAGAAATACACATTATCAGAACCAGCAAATTTCATTCATTTTAAACAGTTGCTTTGGTGGTTAACCTATTCTCTTATTGCTATTGTAATTTTTATTTTTTAGATCAATCCTTAGTGGTTTCAGGTGATGTTGAGTACACAAATCGGAATCCTTCATTTGAGATCACCGTTGAGGTCATTGACCTGGCTCACCATAGTTTCAATAAAACGTTCACTGTTGAGATTCTACCTGTCAACAACCCTCCAAATGATGTCGTAATTGGTCAAGCCTACCACAACTGTAGGTTATTGTGTTTTTTATCATTTTGTTTATAATTTGGATATTTTCTGGAAAATGGTTTGGATTAACAAACTACATGTGAAGTAGTTTGCCAATTATTCAGATACTCGTTCATTGATTCATTCATTATTTAGTCAAAATAAAATCCCAAATTTATATTGAGGCACATGGTCAAGGATTGCTTACAAAATACTGAGTACAATTAAAAGTTATGCAGTTAATAGGAGCGGTTGGCGCACCGGTTGTGGCTTGGACTCCCAACCTTGAGGTCAGGGGTTCGAGACTCTGGCTGTGCAAATCGCTTGTGTCCTTGGGCAAGGCACTTTATCTACGGTTGCCTCTCTCCACCTAGGAGTACAAGTGGGTACCTGGTAGGTTCCAACACAACCTGCGCTGATTACTAGCTATAATTATGGAATGATAATATAATTTCATTTACTAATTTAATTTGGTGTTCAATGTGTTTGATCCAATGACCGGGGTAGTAATGTGAAGCGCTTAGAGGCCTTGTAAAGGCATGAAGCGCTATATAAGAATGACATATTATTATTATTATTAATTGTATTAATTAGTATAGCAATATTAATATAAATAAACAAATTAATATTCGTACATGATGTAAAAATAATTTGCAATAATACCACTTTTCAGATACAATGATAAACTGTGACAACAATACAATTGTTTTGTAATTTCAGATATATATTGTATAATTAAAATATAAAATCTCCAAAAAAAATCCTTTATATTTTTCCAGGTACTAATATTCAAGACAATTGGTTATGTATTTCTGAAGATATGTCCCCCTTTTCACCTGTTGCTGATTTGCAGGTGTCTGATCTTGATGGAGACATCCTAAATTGCGAGTTAATTGCCGGCAGTGCTCAAAGGCTTTTTACAGTTGGTAAGTCTATGAAGCTGAATACGGTGCCTTTTAAAGAAAGCAGTACACTCGTTGCAAAAGGGCAAAGGTGGATGTTTCCTGGTGTACGGCCCAATCCATCACCAGAGCGGCGCTGCACTGCTGCCATCACCAGTTGTTGTCTGCCCAAAACGAGTTTTAAGACCAATGGACCGTTCTGCCAAGCCCCGTCCTTTGGATGTTGTTGCTAACATCTTAAAACAACAGTGACAGTGTATCATGTATCTAAACATAAGTGTTTGTCACAGACATGTGTATTTTCTTTGCTCTGTCATTTGTAAAGTTTGATTGACACTTCACAAAGGTCTATTGAGCTATTTTAGTTTTAAAATTATCAAATCTTTATAAAAGTAGTAAATTATGAATCTCATCTCTTTTAGATGCTAACTTTACCATTTGGCTTGGTTCAGAGTCTCTAAACTATGAGGATATTCCATTTGGCCATGTATTTGTACTATTTATTAAGGTTGAAGATGAGTTTGGACTCAGCACTCTCTCCGAAATCCATGTACAGGTAAGTACAGGGTTCAATATTTTCCCAGTCATCAGCATTATGCTATATGCAGTCATTAAGTTAAAAGCACTGCATAAATGTTTAATATTAATATTGGTTTTTTTTTTTTGGTGCAGGTCAAAACAATCAAAACATTTAATTAAGTGGCCTAACCCATATTTATATAACCACTTCAATCATAAATATTATAATTAAATATTTTTATGGCATAATTTATCATTATGATAATATTATTTGTAATATTTCCCTTTTTGCTATTGACAGGTACTTGATGCAAATGATCCTCCAGAACGTGTCACTTTTTCAACTTTGACCTTTAGCTCTTCTGCTGCAATAGGTGAAAGTATCGCTATAGCTACTTGTGTGGATGAGGATGTTGATGATGTGCATTCCTTCTCACTACCAGAAAGTGAGGAAAGATTCACTATTAATGGTAATAGGCTTCAGGTAAAAGGGCTTTGGAAATATTTACACAGTATAGTCATCATTCCATCCTGCAATATAATCACAATATAATCCAAAGATTTTGAAATAATTTTTTTTTTTGATCAGGTTCAACAAGCATTTGATACATCATCTAACATCAATCATCCTCTAACTATCACCTGCTCTGATGGTCAAGAGACAGTGACATCGTCATTCATCCTCACGTCACTGATGTCAGTTGGTGATGCCACTGTCGATGTTCACCTGGATTCAACCTCAGTGCTCGAGAACCAGAATCCTCTTACAATAGTAGGTATGTCAGGTATTTTTATTCCAAAAAAAAAAACAGATCCGTGACTTCTGGGGGCAAGTGGTCAAGTGGAATGTGCATAATTACCTTTATTGCCATAAGCCTCATTGATTGGTCAGCAAGTACATAATACACTTTTTTTTCCCCCTTTTTTTTTTTGCCATATTTATAGATGGTGACCCTTCCGGTATCCTAGAAGGTCGGCTGATATTCAGCGGCCATCTTTAAATAAATGAAATAATGTGATGCTTTATCAGCGAAGTCTCTTTATGAGGCGTGTGGAATTTGTTTGTATTCGTGCAAAAAAGTCCTGCTGTTGCAGGAATTGAACCCAGGACTCTGGGAATAGAAGGCAAGCATCTTAACCACTAAGTTCAACTCCACTCCACTCCATTGCTGGTGTTTTGTACAATAAGGAGTTTTCGATTTGCACTTCCACTATGTCGACTGATAACCTATGACGTAGTTTTGATGATTTGCGCATGCGTCAAGTCGACTAACATGACGACTGCCAAATTTGAGAACGTGTTCAGCAGCGTTTTTACGTTCGCTTTCTGACTGAGATAACAAGTAGACGTATGACGTCATATCACTGCAAACTTTTGATTCATGGTGGAGGACGATGTCGCGGTGCTTCTTAATTTGGCAAAATTATCTTCTACTGGCGATGTAAGTAAATAGCATTTTGGTTAAGTTATGTCCTATTTGCAAACTATAGAATTATCCATTATTGTGGATCAAATTCAGTGGATAATTAGGTAATTAATTAATCAGCCTATTAGCTAGGTCAAGGGAGCCTAAACCTGGGCTAGGCTAGGCGAGGCCGCCAGCCTTCAGTCAGGCCGGGCGTATCCAGGAAACAGGAAATAATTTTTCAGTGATTCTGTTAAAAAAAAAAAAAATCCTATATTGAACAAAGAAGGAGAGGTGCACCCTCAACAGGGAGATTTATGCTTTTACAACTCCCTGCCCTGAATACCCCATGGATATACCATTAAGGGATTCGCGAAGCCGATGAAGATTTGCCATGTTGAGCTGCGTAGACTACAGTACCTGAGTGTTGAGTGAGATACCACGGCCAGTGTATTCGAATAGCGTGCGCGAACACGGAGAACCCCCAGATCACAAGGTCCTAAAGAGCTGAAGAGTGGGAAAATAGGCATAAATTTAGCAAATATCTCTGTCAATTGCTGTTTTATCCAGGTGTTGTGAGTGCTTCTGGTGGCAAGGAATGCACATTTACAGTCATTGCTGATTCATCAAATAAGTTTGGCTTGCGTAATAATAATGATGACAGAACCGCACACCTGTTTACCATTGAGATGTTAGATCATGAAGAGGCTAGCTCATACTATGTTACCATACAGGCCACCTGCAAAGGTGCTGTCGGACTCAACACATTTGAAATATTGGTGAGTTACATTCTTTGATTACATGGGCATTATATAATTTATTTTTATTTGTTGCTTTTATTACTATATTAAATTTAATTAATAAAATGGAGTAACGATATTAAACATTTGTATTTTAAGGTGGTTGATATAAATGAGCCTCCATATGAAATTAAACTTCACCACCAGGCTGTGTATGAAAATCAAATAGATACGATTGTCGGGATAGTAACAGTCATCGACCCTGAGGGTGATGAACTCATGATACGTATAGAGAATGACCAGTTATCACCATTTAAGGTGGGTTTATTGCATTATGATATGCTTTTCTTTATTATAAGCACTAATTAAGTAAGTACAATAATTATAATATGTTCAATCTATTATGGAAGTAACTTTTTATTATGTGCTTTTCTTATGTTTGTTTCCTTGTATTACCAGGTAGAGACAGATGATGCAATCAATACGTTCAAAGTCCTGACTGATCAACCTTTGAACTTCGAACTTGGAGCCTCAGTAATAGTAGACATACAGGCATATGAACTCCAGGATCCTAGCATTGTGTCAGAAACATTTTCATTCAACATCACAGTCATTGACATCAATGAAGCCCCAACAGCTGTTGGGCTGAGTAGTAAGAGCATTAATGAGAACAGCCCAGAAAACTTTACTATTGGTCACTTAATAATTGCTGATCCAGATAGTGTACACACCCATCAGAGATTCATATGTCATTTGATAAATAATGCTGGAGCAAGACTTGTGCTTGATGCAGATCTGAACCTGCAGGTAGTACTTATGATATACTGTCTTATTACAAACTTGTAATTTTATAATTCTTTAGCTTCCTATTTTCTTTTAGACAGCAGATTATTTTGTATGACCTTATCTGAACTTCACATATTTCAAATGTTTTTTAGCTCTATGCACAATGCATTCCACCTTGCACCACATTTTGTAACTTTGTTCCATTATCTTCTCTCTGTCCATAGACTTTTTACTTTATTTAATAATTGGTTTTTATAGCTTTTAATATTTTTTTATACATCTGAATGTTTTCAAAAATGCAAAATGCCATGTTATTTTTGAATAAACCAGATTTGAATTGAATTTGGACTGTACATTTTTATCATGAATGTCCTAATATTAATATGTAAATGTATTTCATCAATGTGTTGTTTTCCTATTTGAGGCTTTGCCATACCAGCATCTGTGGCCAAAAAATGAAAATGATTTTTTAATATTTTTTTTTGCCACATTATCAGCTTAAAAAAACAATTCAGTTACATTAATAAATATATTGAAGATTATTTTTTTCAGGTTGCACATGGAGCATCTATTGATTATGAATCGTTACCTAACAATAAGTCTCTGTATATTGATGTGGTATGCTATGATCAACAACAGTTGACAGTCTATCAATCAATTTACATTGATGTGATTGACATTAATGAGGCTCCAACGGACATCATTGCACAATCTGACTACAGCATCAAAGAAAACCAACCAGAAGGTAGCAATGTTAACTTGTAACTAACACATTTACCGGTATTTTACCAATTTCAATTTTGAAAATCTTTTGTAATCATAATACAATTAATGCATATAATTTCAGGATTATAAGATGACTAGACATTCCTTTTGTAAGAATTAAAAAAAGACCCAATTTTTGGTTAGATTCTATGGTCCTAAATGGTGAAATCATCAGCTGCGGACATTTAACATTCATTTGATCAAATTTTACAAGTAACAGAAACATAATCTATGATAAGATAAATATTTGTTGCATGTTACAATTTTATTCTTATCTATATTTATATATATTTATATTTTTTGCTAAGGGATCTTTCTGAGACTAGCATTTAACTTCTAATTTGATTCATGAATTGTAGTTCGCATCTTTTATGTTGTATATTTTTTTTTTAAATGATTTGAATAAAGGTTACTAAATATTTGTTTAAAATTTGGTCATGTTGCAAGAACACAGGGGATTGTTGTAATTTATACCTTTTTGCTGTCAATTGTAATTTCAAAAACTTCACATAATAATATTTTAATATTTGTTTATAGAAGTATGCTTCAATAAAGACTGTGTTTTGTACTTTTTCTGAAATAATAGATACCAGTTTTGAATAGAATTGTTTTCTGAGATAATATATAGTGTACAATTTTCCAGATTTTGGAGTTACTGGTGAGCTTTTACCAAGTTAGAAGCATTTTGCATGATATTGTACTAAAAACAAAACAAAAATATTTTATTATGATTGATCACAGGAAGTGTTGTAACTAGACTCCAGTCTCTTGACCAGGATCAAGATGATGTTGTACGGTTGAGTGTAATTGACAACAATTTCTTTCATGTTTCTGGCAACCAGTTGGTTGCTAGCATGATGTTAAACTATGAAGCAGCCCATCAACATGTAGTCACTTTGCTAGCAGAGGACAGATCTGGACTTACATTCACAAAGGTAACTACTGACATACTTATCAGATTGGTTGATGGCATGGTTGAGTTATTAAAGGATCACAAAAGACACTATAAAACCATATAAAACTATATAAACCAATAAAAAATAGTAATTCTGCAGGCTGTATGAACTTAATATACTTATATTTATTCATAGGATGTGATCATTGATGTCTTGAACCAAAATGACCCTCCAACAGAGGTAAAGCTTCCACTTGGTTCCAGTGTTCCTGAACACTGCCCTCAAGGAACATTAGTGGGTCAACTTGCGACTACAGACCAGGACGTACATCAGAATCACACATACAGGATCCAATATCAGAACCCTGCAGGTGTCTTGGTCCTGGTCAACAACAGTTACCTTGTTGTGGCTGAAGGAATGGCGGTTGATTATGAATCCATGCCTGTGGTGGAGATCATTGTCGTTGTCTTTGATTATGAACTTGAAACTTCTCTAAGCCATGTGCAAAACTTGAGAATTCCTGTTCTAGATATTAATGAGCCCCCTCTTGCAATTAGTCTGGATTCCTTGGAGGTCAATGAGAACTCACCAAGAGGCACTTGGATAAGTCAGGTGATAATCAGTGATCCAGACACCTTCCCTCAAGCATTCTTTTGTACTCTGCTCAATGATGCTAATGGTGCTTTTGAGATTGGACCTCAAGAAGATAATATTGTCCTTGAAGTTGGGAACAGCAATATGTTTAACTATGAGAAGTCAGATCATCTGGTTCTTAGTCTGCGATGCCGTGACCCAGACCTCAACGTGGTCCAAGAAACCTTTGTGATTAATGTAATTGATGTCAATGATCCACCACAAGAGATCTTATTCACTGATGTTGAAGATGGAACAATAATTACGTCAGTATCAGAAGTTGACTTTTCATGGATTCAAGTGGACTCAAGCATATTGACACAGTCCACTGTGATCATAGAAGAGTCATCCATTCCATCTCTTGGTGTGGTGGCAGTTGTTGCGGTGCTGGATGAAGACGAAGGTGGTGGTGATGATGTTCTCCTAGAGCTTATTTCTGAAAATGCTTTTATTGAATATCAGAGCACTGGTGAGTAATTTACAAAGAAACATATATGGTTGTTACTGATTAGGTACCCTATATTAAAAGTTTAAAAAAATATGTTTGTGAAATATAGTTTTCTATGTTAGGTACAGTTTTGTTTTCATTTAACAATGCCTTCTTTAGTTTAGTTTGATTAGGTAAAATCACTGTGTTTGTGTATGATTTCTTTTAGGACGTACTATGCGAGATATTGAGACACGGTCAAAGAGATCAATGGAAGATGATATCCCCTCTGAATTTATGGTATATACTCCAGCCAACAGCATCATTGTGAAGGAGGCATTAGACTTTGAAAGACGAAGTGAATACATGCTCTATTTAAAAGCATCATCCATTGAAGATTCCAATATGGTAAATGATTGTGTCTATTACATGAATTATGTACCTGGATAAACAGGTATTTCTATTGTTCTTTTTAGTAGAACTCCCCTAAAAAATGACCATTCTAAGAGCACTGAATTTATACTAAGCATCATGTGTTTGGTCCTATCCTTTTTTGGCCAGTTTCCTGAGGAATACCACAGAGTGAATGAAAGCTTAAGTACTGTAAATGCTGTACTTATATATTTTAAATTCCTTATGTTTTTTGCCGTGGTTAAATTTAAAGTTAAATTACTTTTATTGCTATATATTTTTTTATTGTGTGCTAATCACTGTTACATCATAGAATAGACTTTAGGTTGAATAGGCTTGCCATATCCTATCATTATTATTAAAAATTATTTTTTTTAAAATTAGTTTGTTCTGTCATCTTTGCGAGTGCTAATTGCGGATGTTGATGAAGCACCAACAAACATTAGTCTCTCAAAGTTAACCGTTGATGAAAACTCACATCCTGACACATTGGTTGGTGAGTTTCAAGACTTTATTTTGTCAATAAATATTCATTCCAAAGGCTTAGTACATTTTTTAATAATATAGAAAAATAGAAAATAATAAATGAAAAGTTCTGTCTCTTTTTAAAAAATTTAATATGAAGGATTTTTTTTTGCAGGGATTTTTAATGTAACAGATCCAGACTCTGGACCAGCTGATTATGCGTACATGCTTTTGTCCCAGGCTGCCCCATTCTATATCCAAGGCAACAAGCTATATGTGTTACATAATATCGACTATGAGCTAAGTCATGTGATTACAATCCAGGTCAAAGTTGAACAAGTTGGATCAGGTCTTATCTTGATCAGAAACATCGATATAAAAATAGTGAACATCAATGAACCACCAACAGGTTTGACATTAGATGGAGAAAAAATTGTGAACGTTCAAGAAACTTTAACAATTGGTTCAGTTGTGGGCATGCTGCAGGCGGACGATCCTGAACTTGATATTCTCAGTTTTACTATAACAGATCATGTGAGTGACAACAATGTTTTTGTTATCCATGGGGATATGTTGATAACTGCATCGGAGCTGAATGCCTGGGAACAAGACAGCTATGCTCTCCATATTGTTGCTAAGGATCCCAGTGGTCTTACCCTGCACGATATAATTCTTATTAAAGTTGATGAGGTTAATCAGTGCGATGCAGAGTACAGTTTCTGCAGCAGGCATGCTACATGCTTGCATAACAGATGTAAATGTACTGCTGGCTTTACAGGTTAGTAAGTTACTGTGGTTTGGTTGTTGATGTGCTTGCCTTCTAATGCTTACATTGTTGGTTGGCTGTGAAGAGGTTCACGCTATGTTTCAGCCCTTAGTGCATTCATTTCATAGCATATAATTAATAAACTGAAATCCCTTACCTATAAGAGGCTTCTAGACCTTATTTGAGGCAATATATACTATATATATTTAATATAAAGAAGCCTTTGAGGGTCTCTGGTAAATGAATAAATCTTCACTCATCAAGCTTCATACTCATAATGAGACTTGGCTATAATGACTTTGCAATTAAGCTGAATCCCTGGAAAAATTATTCTGAATTTATAAAGATTGGATGGAAGAACTATGCAGGCAATTGGGCATTCATATTAGTTTTATGTGTAGTCTGAATCTTAGTTTATTTCTTACATTAGGTAATGGGTCAGTTTGCATTGATATTGATGAGTGCCTTGAAGATCCATGCCATCCCCACAACTCTAATGGAATGTGCCAGAATGGTATAGGTGGAGTAAGGAACTTCACATGTGACTGCAAGGAAGGATGGGCGGAGCCCGACTGTACTGTCCCAGTAGATGCATGTGCGGAATGCAATGTACAAGGTAAAACAAATATAAATATATACAGTACTTAAACAACTATATAAATGTTATATAGCTTTCTGCAACATCAACAAGTTACGCCTTATTAACAACCATGATATTGATCACGATACCATACTACTACCAATTGTGGCAAAGACAAGCCAAACCAGTCACTCTTTGCAAAAATCGATGTTTAGTTAATACAAGGTTAAACAGTAAAATGAGAGCTGTAAAATTGTAAAAGAATTGTTTAAATCTGACATTTCATTATGAAGTTACAGGAGTTTAAGTATACACCTGTTTCAAAAACAATATTTGAGAAATCAGCCTTCAAATTTTATGATTTCAGGCATTTCTTAGGCAGAAACCATCACCAAATCATTGAAAATTGTTGTTTTAGCATTGAAAATGGGGAAAATAACATCATAGCATGATGTATAGATATATACAAGACACAAGATAGCTTTATTGTGAAATTAAAATTTGAAAATATAGTTTTTCTCATGGCAATAAAAGTACATAAACAACAAAGAAAACATACAATATATAAAAGAACAATAAAATGTAAAAACATTTAAAAGAAACGTAAAGGTTAGTTTAGTGCAATAAACTAGATTTCCAAATATTTGTACATTCCAGTATGTTTTAGCCATTATCTCCAAAGCAGGATTTACGACAAGTGACTGGTTTGGCTTGTCTTTGCCACAATTTCTTTCTTACCAATTCATTGACATCATACCAAGTACAAATTTATACCAGTGATTGTGGAGAGACAAAAATATGTCTGGTTAGAGGCCTGACACTTCCAAATGAAATATGACAGACATTATTTTAACTGCAAGATTGTGTTTCTATTTTTTATCTTAGGAACATCTCTGTGCATCAACCAAAAAGATGGATTTGCATGTCGCTGCAAGGAAGGATTCATTGGTCAATTGTGTGATGTCGTCATTGATGAATGCACCATTGAGAAGTGTCTAAATAATGGGACATGTGTGAGTGGTTCCACTGGGTACAAGTGTCTCTGTAAGGAACCATTTGGTGGTAAGCTAATTTTAAGTCTTAATTCATGTATCAGATACATTGGATTATAGGACAGACACCATAGCTTAGATTCAGTTTGCATCTTACATTTCCTTAAAAAAAAAAAAGGGGGGGGGGTGGGAAAAACGCCTCCGGAAGGAAAAAAAGTTTTGACATTCATACAATTGATTTTTCTAAGACTCAAAATGGGTCTATGATGAAAAACTTGGGAACAGTTAATAAGATACAGATTTTTGGAATATTTAAAACCTGGGGTGGGGGGAAGGGGCATAACCACCCTTTTTTCACTGGAACCATCTTAATACTACACTGTTTACATTCACCAATAAAATTTTATTTTTATTTTCTCCTCTGTCTGGATGTTTTTGGCAAAACCATTTGCTAAATAAGAAAACTTTTATTTTTATTTTCTTTCTGCCCTCTGACAATCTTTAAAAAAATAAGTTTGCAAAACTAGGTATAAACAAAGTCTCGCCTTATGATGTTGATGAAAAAAATGGTGGCAAGGATGGTGTTTGTGATGAGGATGGTGTTCATGGTGATGATAATTAATTTATTTCTGTGAGATAGTTTGAGAATTATGATGATGGCGATATTGATGATAATGGGGATGTCAAGGTTTCTGAAAATGATGGCAGTAATGATGGTAATAGTAATAAAAAGATGTTGATAGTGAAAAACATTATGATGAGGATAGTATTGATGACGACAATAATGTTGATGGTGATAATGTTGGTGGTGAAGATGAAGATGGTGGTGCATACTATCACCCAATGCTTTAAGCAAGTATGATGATAATAATATATATTTTTTAAAATAATTTTTGACATTTTATTAGGTGTGAACTGTGACACGGATTATTCCATTTGTTCAAATGTGACCTGCAGTCATGACGGCGTCTGTATTCCCAACACGTTCTTTGGCAGCTATGCGTGTCGTTGTATTGAACCTTCTGCTGCTGATTGCAATGGGTGTTCATATGGATATGGAGGCGATGACTGCAGACCCTGTATACCACCTTGGACAGGTAATATATAACACTCATCTTCTATTGTGTAACATATTTTAATTATTTGTTTAAGGTGGACAGGGAAGAATCAGAAGAGCACTTCACAATGTAAACATGTAAGCAATAAAGAACAGAGTGGTGATGGCAGAGGTACCTGAAAGCAAGATAAATTTGTATAAATCACAAAATAACTATCCAATGAAATAATATCAAAAAGAACAAACAAATTATCTTGACATCAGTTTTTGCTTTACTTAGGGAGGAACTGTGAAATTGATGGTAGTGTTTGCACACCGAATCCATGCCAGTATGGGGGAGTGTGTGTGCCTTATGATGACACTACACATGCATGTATCTGCCCTTGTAAGTTGCAGCCTTTTTTTTCATTGATTTTTATAACTCATTAAATTCTTTACATACATAATAAGTACATTAGTATATGCCATATGTCTATGTTGTAATACATAGACCAGCTTCCAATCCAATATTTAGCAATTTCATTTTTCAAAATGTAGGTCTGCTTTGCTATTGACACAACATTCAATTGAGTTTGAAGTAAACCTTATAAAATGTTAGTGTTCTTTGTTGGATGTGTATGCCTAGATTAAGGTCATTCTGAGGGCAACTTTAGCGTTTCCTTTTCTATGAACATTGACCCTGAAATGTAGACAACTTTTCAATGAGGGATATCCTCAGTAGCAGATCCACTGGGAGTAGTTGTTCGGATAATCCTCCTCTGGAACTCATGTGGAGGGGGATGGATGAGGATGTGAAGTGAGGTGATATGGGGTGATTTGTAACTGCTTTTTGCTTAGCAAATTTCCAGTTGGTGGGGGAGCCCTAGGTTACAAGCTTTTTTGGGGAGGGGAGGGGGTGTGCATAGATTTGCACTGCTGGAATTTGCAAATTTACAAATGCCCTTATATGTAAAGGACTAGGACTAAAATAATGCCATGCTGAATGTTCGCCTACTTTTTTTACCGGCCATTTACTAAAATAATGTACTAGTAGTTTTTATATACATTACGTTTATATGTTTAACTTAATACTGCACAAATATGGAAGATGATTATTTCAAGAATAATATCATGCTATATTAAAAAGGAAAATATTTACGAAAAAGTGAAGTCATTAAACGAACTCTGAGAAGGCCGGGGAAGCTCAATTTCCATCACCTATGAAGCAAAATTTTCCCTGGCTAGCATTAAAAAAAAATGGAACTCCTTCCCCAATCAAAAACCTGGGTCTGCCCCTAATCCTTCTCTAGTAAAATCTTGAAATATGCATTGCCTCATGAATACCTTTATAGGTTGATTTCATATAGTGACCTACATTTAACAGTAACTCTTACATTACCTAGTAAATGATATCCAGGGGCTGATAAGATGTTGATGTACTTTTTAAACATTGTTTTCATTGATATCCTGCAATCCATTGAAAGATATAATTATAATTTAGTACCAGCATTTTCCAATCAAATCTGATGTATTGATGAAATTATGTTGTTACAACAAATGATATTCCTTGTTTGCATTCACTTATTAGAATGATTAAGCATGGCTGATTGCTTATCTAGTATGATATAATTAATTATTTCAATATTTTATTGGTTAATTGACCTTGAAATGTTATTATAAATAATTGTTATGATATAAAGTATTTCCCTTCAGCATTTTTAATCATGATACACAGTCAATTTTAATTTTTTTTTTTTTTTAGCTTATAAAAACTCCATGGTCATATAAACTGTAATTTTTAACTTGATTTATTCTTCCTGGAATTTTCAAGTTTAGGGCTCAGGGGAAAAAATCCCCCATCAAACTAACATAGATAGTGGCGGTGCCAGCGGGGAGAAGCAGGGGCTTAAGTTTTCCCCCCCCCCCATGAGACGGACAAGTCAAACCCCCACCTGCCAGAAATAATAGGCCTAATGAAATGAAATGCTTATTTTGTTGAGTTTGAGAGTATACTAACAATTGTATTTTATCAAATATTCATTTAAAAGTATTTTTACAAGTGTGAGAGTGCCATTTCCAGGTCCCTGTTTTTTTTTTTTTTAATCTCATTAGGGAGGAGAATAACCCTCCGGTCAGAAGGCCCTTGGATGGTGATGCACGCCAAAGTTTTCCTTATCTCACTCAGCCACCTCTCCATCGGACAACTTAGAAAATATAAGCTAGAGCCGCCACTGAACATAGATCCCCTGTCATCAAATGCCACTTGAAGTCGTCTACTAAAAACATTAATGTACCGATCCAACCAAGTTATGAGTGCAGTTCCTGATACTGTTGTCTATAAGGCACAATTTTTGCCATTGTACTGTATATCATACCCAGGGAGGTATAAAAATCTTTTGCCCTTGGCCCCCACTAGAGGTGTGTTCGGGCGAGAACGGGAAAGAGTTCATAGGGTTCTTACCGGTATTGTGTCTATGGGTGGTCTACCGATTCGTGCAGAACTCGGCTTTCAAAAAAACCAATGACCTCGGACGTAAAGCCAAGGTATTATGCAAATGATGAGTTTCTATCAAGTTGCCCTGGACCCTTGCGTCACCCACCTGCATCACCCGACGCTTTAATTAAGAAACAAACTTTGGTGTTGGTCCACTGCATAATGTTGTGTCAAAATGAAGTAATGAAATTACCGAAGAAGCTACAACAATAATAAAGCATACATAGCAAACTCCCAATAAATCGCAGATGTGCATTTTAGGCATAGGCCTATAAACCATGAAACTTTCATTCGTTTGACAATTGGAGTTTAAACAGAAAACTACTACCACTGTTATACGAATAAGCAGTGGTGCCATGGTCATGTATGCATGTGGCAGACATATGTAACAAGGTAACAATCTGGATTCTAGGCTAGCCCTCAGTTCAAATAATTTATTTTATCGAGCTTTTCAGTTTTGTTTTTGGAAATAAACTGCAAAAGAAGTAGGGACCATCAACATTTAAACAGGCTTTACTTCTGGCGCAAGTTGAAACAATCAAAGGGGATTAAGTGAAAAAAAATGCTGCTTTTGCTCCTCCAAAAGCACTGCAATTTTCAGCGTTTGATTATCAGCGGATATCAGCAGGCAGTCTGCGTTTAACACCCTTTCGGGTTACAACTGGAAATGGCTGTTTCCGGATTTATCCCATGTTAGGCTCCACAAAAAACTCGCCCAAATGCACCCTAGGAGTCTTATTCCAGGATCCTGACCAGAGCTCATAGGAGGTCCATGGACCACCTGTTAATTGGCTTATTAGTCTTTTACTGTATGTCTCCATTGTCCTGAATCTTTGAAATTGTATTATTTTCATTATCATTGTTTAAAGCCTTACTTAATTAAAATCTCATTTTGTTCTGAATATGTACATAAGTACGGTAAGTGAATCCCACTGGCAAGAGGAGTTTATTTTCCTTTATAGCCTGCCATCTCTATCTAAGAGTAAAACAGAATATTAAATAAATAAATAAATAAAATTTTACCGATGTTCACAAGTAAATCATTGGGTTAGGTACACATGTATAAAAAGTCATAATAATGGAATCAAATTTATATTTTAAAATTCGGTTTTTGTTGTACCAGTAAACATATTTGCAAGAAATCTGAGCTTTTCAAGTGAAAAAAAGATGGAAAAATGACCGTTTGAAATAGAAATATATGTTCATTGGGAAAAAAAGGGAAAAATCAGAATTTCCTCAAAAGTGATGAGGGAGGGGGTGATTAACTAACAGTTTTTTTTATGGTGCCTTATGTGCCTATATATGGTCATGATGTACTGTTATTGTGACCATATTTAGGCACGTTACAGGTTTTGTTAATAGTGACTTATTCGATTACCTTGGTTAAAATCATGATACCTTTATTCTTTTTCTGCCTTATGATTAAAACAAAGGATAAACCCAGCATTTAAGTCCTAGCATAAAACTGATTTGTGACCCAGTATGACCTTTTGATTGACAGATTTGGAGTTCACTTAGTAAAGAACTGCATGTATTAGGCCCTTTGTTTCATCAAGGACATCATTGGATTCATGTGGTGAATGCAGGGTCTCCCTAGAGGGCACTCTATTAATGTTCCAAGGCCAGTATTGTTCTCTGAGAAGTTTTTAAAATAAGGTGACCTTGTTGAAAATGTTCCGACAAAGGCCTTTGTTTCTGGTGTGTAGTTAGTTATCAGTGTGTCTCGCTACTTGTACCGTTGAGGACTTAGCATGGAGGTGGAGCACTGTTGTGGCGGGCCAACTCTGCTCCCCTCCATGCTACTGTTTCCACCCCGTTTGGTAATGTAATGTCATTTATACAGGTAAGCAATTCATGTACATTTTTATGTTTTTTTATTTTGCATCATGTTTCTACATGTTATAAATAGGTAAATTGGCAATCATGCTTTAATTTAATTGAATTCTACAAGAACAGAACACATTCACATATGGTATTCTTATATAATACTTGTATTATTTAATTATAATTTTGTACATAGGAAAAAGGAAGGAATATCTGCGTGCGCCAAAATTTCCATACCCATGCCACTTGATATTTATGTCTCTTGCCTCCTTAGAGACACTTTCTTTTGAGTTGTTTTGCCTGGTCAGCCATTGCTGATCAAATGGGAACTGCTGACTTTCTGTTCAAACTCTCATCTGCTTCATGAATCAGTGGGTTGGTTTAGTGCTTCAGATATTGCATTTCAGCTTCTTGACCTTGAGGTTGTGGGTCCAAACGCTCGCTGTGCATTTGGCTTGTGTCCATGTGCAAGGCACTTTATCTATGGCTGTCTCTCTCCACCCTGTAGTAATGTACTTGGTAGGCTTAGACACAAAATGCACTGATTACTAGCTGCAACTATGGATCACCCAGGAAGCTGAGAATGTGTTGAATGTTTGCTCCAGTGATCAGTGTAATAATGTGCAGCGCTTTTTTTTTTTTTTTGCATAGCTGACCGTACTGGTCCACAATGCAGTCTGGAGTTGCATGCTGGTGTGACATCATCCGTGTCAAGTGACAACACTGTGAACATTAGCTGGTTGCTGGTATTCATCTCTGTTCTTACCATCCTTCCCTTCTGCCTGCTCCTTCTGTTCCTGGTAATTCACTACCAGAAGAAATCACAGAGAAATAGTTCATCTTCACCAGTGAGGTAGGTATTAATTGTTAAGTGAAATATATATAAACATGTTTATTTTAGTTAATACAGGTCTCCCTCCAATGAAAGACCCCTCCAATTAAGGACTGCCTCCAATTAAAGACCGATATTCTGTGGT